AATACTCTTCTTGCAAGACAAATAAAGTCTCCATTATAACTTTCTATATTGATTGTAATAAATAAGACATGATAATTAAACAAATATATCATTTGTACATATGGAACGTTGATCAAGAATTCTTTTTAACCTTCTAAAAAATAAGTCTAGATTCTGTAAAAAAAACTCAGCATCGCGGTGGCATTAATTATCCTTACACAAAAAGTGGCGCATTTTAATAAAGTAGCTTTTCATTTTTACTACGTACTTTTACCGTTTCTTTCCCTAAAAAGAAAAGCAAATGAAAAGTCAACTGGCACCACTCGAGTGGCTTTAAAAAAGCCAATAAAATGTCAATGGCACTAGAATGGCTATCATCAAGAAGCCAATAGAATGCCAAAGACAATATATTGACTTGAAAAAGCCAACGTAACGTCATGCAACTTTCAATAAAAAGCCAATAAAATGTCAGTGACACTCAAATGGTTTTCAAAGAAGCTCATAAAATGTCAAAGACAATATATTGGCTTTAAAGATGCCAATTAACTGTCGCTTTATAATACTATTCTCATAAAACTAAAAAAATTCTTCTGTCTTCTAAAGTCGAATGTTTTAAAAATGTTAAAATTCCCTTTCAAGAGGCTACTGCTTTACCTCAAACGGAACAAGTGAATGAAAAAATATTACGCTATATTTCATTTAAAAGRCATTAATTCAAGACTGTACTAATGCTAATAATTTTATCTTAAGCTTACAGCTTACTAAACTATATCAATATTTTAAAGCTTAGCTTTCTGTCAATGTAGTTATTCTATTTAGGCATATACTATTTTCTGGAACTCCTCAGAACTACCAACGGTCATCATTTCAAGCTTTCAAGTTTGCAAATCATCTGAATTGAAGAAGCGTTACACGATTAATGTTCTTTTTGTTCAGTGTCTTGTTTAGTGTTCAGATTTAATGTCAATCATTTTAAAACAGGCATATAATCTGTCGTTTAAGCCTGAGAAGCTTCTCCGCATCAATCGGACCACATATGTTATCTTTCTTTTAGACGTCGAATTCTTCATGTACGGAAAATAACTATTATACATGCGACACATATCACRCAAGTTTTATACAGTATATCTCTGTACGGGAGCTTTTTCAGACGTCGAACTTCACACGTAGCGGTTGTTTCCCCTCGTTATCATCTCATTTGCATTGACGTCACATGTGAGGTCCGAGGTATGAAACAGACTCAATAGAGTACAGACACTATTAACATGAATAATACAAAATAGTTTTAATAAAAAAAAACTCCTTTTAACTAATATAGTGRTTGCCGTTAACCGTGAAACACTAAGAGCACTACACTTAGAGTGAAGTCATTAAACCCGTGAAACAAAACTTGACTAAAGTGTGAAAKTCAAATAGACACAAAGAAAACAATGCACAAGCGTGATATCTATTTCACGGATTTTTTGACTTCACTGTATTACTCAACTGTGCGTTTTTACAATTTCGACACGTTGTTTCACGGACTTAGTTAAAACACTCTATTAATACTATTTCGTAATTATTAGTACCATTTGTTTCACGCATTAAGTGCGAGCACTCGATAGAATAAATAAAGCAATATCATATTTTTCACATGAACGTGAAGAATTACGCGTTTCTGGGCGAGAAGAACTCCCCGCTATTCATAAGCTGTCCCGTTAAAAGATTGCCCTTTGAAGCATTTCGTCATCCTAATATCACCAAAGATTGCCCCCCCGTCTTAGAAATACCCTGGCTGCTTTTGTTTAACATTCTCTTGGAAGTTTCCGACTTGGTTTCCGGGGGGATAGTACCTGCCTACCACGACACACGAGCCATCGTCGCCGATAGCCTTGCCCATGCCGAATTCCTTCGTTCCTTGCCATACAAGCTGTGTGAAGTTGGCCGTGTGTGACGTGAAGCCGGGAAACTCGTAATCGTAATCGACGATTTCGTCGTACCACGAATCGACTGCGTCGCGTCCGGACAATTCCAAGCCAAATGAGAAGGAAAGACAYTCGCCGATTTCTTTATCACCGCTGTGCATAAAAGAGCCGCTTCGGACTAATTTTTCGGCGAAGTTTTGAGACTCGATCGCAAGACGAGCTGACCACTGGAGAGGTTGCGCCCCGTGAAGCGATCTGTAGTAGTTGTGGCTTACAATGCATTCGTTCTTGAACTTTTCTGTTAAAAAGTGCAAGAGTTAGCTTTTCTAGTCGTTGTCATGACATTGCGTTGTCATAGTGACACGACACTCCGTTGCTATGGTAACATGACCTTTCATGTTCATATGACATTCCGTTGTATTGAAAAATGACCCTCCGTTCTGAACTGAAATGACTTTCCGTTGTCATGGTGATGTGCTGTTTCCGTGTGGTGATGTAATGTTTCATCGTCATGGGAACATGACGTTTCTCGTCGTCATAATGACGTCACTGTTTATGTAACTCAAAGCCAAGAAAKCCAAAGCCAATCAAGAGCAAAAGCAAAAGTAAAACATGCTTGACGCACAGCGATATAATCTTGAGAGTGTCTAAGGATTTGGTCGCGTCTTGCAGGGCCTGTGGCCATTCAGACGACACTGGGCCTTAGTTGCAAACATAAAATAAAATTAGTGGATAGTTGTGCAGTGCTTTGGCCTCGCAACCATAACAAAAGAATAAATAGTCATAGAAAAACAAAATRTGAGAAAAAACGAAGGATGAAAGAAATYGTCAAGAATTGAAGGGGGAAAACTAAGTAGAAGGGAAAAAATGAATGGAGTAAAAGATAGAAAMGAAGAAGGACAAAACATAAAGCAAAGAGAAGGAAGGCCAGTGGAAAGAACTAATAATAGAAAAACAGATCGAACGAACGACAGAAGAGAAGGAAGGAAAGAGGGATGGAAGGAAGGAAGGAAAGAAAGAACGAGAAAGAAAGGATAGAAGAACATAAAGAAGRAAGAAARGAATTAAAAAGAAASGACAAGAAAGGAAGGAWAAGTAGCWAAGAAAGAMGCAACGAAAACGAGAAAGAAAYGTCAATGTAGGGATTGCGAGGCCTGARTGTAAACAAGCAACCTATACTCAACTGTGTGCGGTTTGCTTTGCTCAACGTTATTTTCTTTACTTCTTTTACACTGTTACGTTTTCTTTGTTAAAAATATTAGTAACTTAATCTTTGACTTGATTTAATTTTTGATCATCTTAAATTAGTCTTTGGTGGAGCAAAAGTTATTTTTTTATTGTTAGTAATGGATGTTTTGAGTCACCATCCGTTTAAAGGAGAAAATGGATTTCAGTTACATTTCTGGATGAAGGSTCGTTTGGTCATTGTGCGTTTACAAAGATTTTATGAATGTCATTAACATTTCATGAAAGCGTTACAGACGACAACAACATTTAACTTATATTTAGACTGCACACATGAAATCACAGACAAACAGACATGACTAAGATACACTGAATAAACAACACGACACTGACAACACTTTTGAATACATTAGTGCTAGTTTTTTACATGCAATAACTGACAAAAACCACCAATCAATCAACAAAGCAACCAATCAATCACTTTATCAGTCAAACAATCTGTCAATCGACGTATGAATCAATCAATCAATCAATCGGCCCATCAATCAATCAATCAATCAATCAATCAATCAATCGGCACATCAATCAATCAATCAGCCAATCAATAATCGGCCCATCAATCAATCAATCAATGAACCAACCATCCATCCATCCCATAAACTCCTTGACTTTCACAATGTCTGTCTCATTTCAGACCGCTTGCGAAATCTTTTTTTACTCAACACTCCAAAAGATACATATCTGCATAGGACAAACATTGCACAAGCYGCGGAGGTCTATAATTGATCAATCAAGAATCCGTCAGCYAATACAACCMTGAGCCAATCATTCTTGTACAGAAAAGATTGTACCTTGTTGCGTAATAACATCACCAGAATCAGTTTGACTAGTTTTTCTTCTTGCACTAGAGCGCCGTCGCTTCCTAACGCTTGATCGTTGCCCTCTTGCTCTTCTAATACTGGTTTTAAATTCTCCCAAGACATTWCCAGGTGGGTAGTACCTTGCAACAACATATTGCGTACCATCGGCTGCTGTACTCTTCGCCACTCCAAACTGCYTAGTATCTCTCCAGATCATTTGTGTAAAGTGGCCACATTTGGCATTGAAGGCTGGGATTTCAAAATTATATTCCTTTACTTCATCATACCACATTTCGGCAACTTTATCGCCACGAAGCTCGTACCCCTTTGCGCTTGCAAGRTTTTCGCCGTGTTCTTTGTCAGATGTGTGCTCCAGCGTGTTKKTKGCGGCCAAATGCTCGGCCCAAGCTTCTGCAGCATTGGATAGCTCCTCTGACCACACAAGTCTGCAGGCTCGATGCTGATGACGATAAATGTTATGCTGCCGGATGCAGTCCCTTTGGAAATCATCTAAACCTAAATTCACAAATTCATACACATTAAATACTTAATATGATTAACCAGACTAACTAAACTCTATAAATATGTGTATTTTTAGCWGTCTGTAAGACTTGTTAACTGTTATGTGACGACAGCTGAAGATTAACTTGGACGTCAGCCATGTTTGTGAGTACCCAGTGATGCATCGGCGTCAAACTAATCGTTTAGAACCTGGACCAGAATTCGTTGACTTGGCTGCACCTGGGGTATTATGTCCCTGTTATTATTAGCCAGGTTTTGAAAAGTGTTCGGTTTTAGAACCATCGTATTTGCCAGGTTAGGAAGATTCCCATGTAACGACTTCAAACTCAGGTTCTAAGAGGCTAGCTTGCCGGCAAAGAAATAGAGACAAGAAACAAACGATCAACAGAAAAAACGTCAAGACAACAAGAAAAATACAACAAATAAATGAATGTCAGAAAGGTATACAAAAGGAGAAAAAAAGGAGAAAAAAATGGAAAACAGCAACGTAATTATATGAAAAAGAAAAGAAAACAAAAGATAAAACAAGAGAATATATGAGAGCAAAGAAAMGTAGATACAAAGAACTCTCKCAGTTCAAAACATAGATTGCACCGCGGTCAAGCTCCAAACCACACAAAAAACGACAACAAATTGAGGCAGAACATAGAAAGGAAGCACATTGAAAGAAAACAAAACCAARGTRCGATTTAGATATTACCAGAATAATCYTCATCAGAGATAAGGTCTTCATTAGATCTACCAGTAGATTCTCCAGTCGAGTCTGTTGTAGAAGAGTGCCCTTCGCTGTCATGAGAATCAAAACCCTCGAGGCTAAATCCACGTCTCTTTCTTAAGGGTTCAACGGAAGCTTCAGCAAAACTTCCTTCTCGGCTTAGCTGTCTTTTGGTCGACTCCAATTCTTCTCCATTCTGCCTGCTTTTGATGACCGTTTCATGTGGTTGTGAAGACGCGGTTTCTTCAACAATGTTGGAATTCTCATCTCCTTCGGTTAAGCACAGCGTTGGTTCGTCTAGTGGTGTACTTTTTGATGAGGTTGTGTTAGTCGTCGTTACGATTTTTCGGGTTACTGTCGTCTTGGTTACCGAGCTRTCGTCGTCGCCATGTTCWTCATCACCATCATCGTACGTACACGTCTCTTCACGAGTCACCGACTTGGACAYAACTCCCCCATCGTCAAGTTCTATTGTCTCTTCTTTCGTTTCAATKGATGAAGTGTTCTCAGGCTTGGTTGGTTCTTCGGTTTTATCGTCTTTGGAAGSCTCTTGCGCGGGCAAAATTTCTTCTTTCCCGCCATCTTTCTCTTCATCTGAACTGTGATRTTCCTCGCTTGGTACCTTYGTGACGTGGGTTGCACTTGTAGTAGTCGTAGTGATKATCTTTTTGGATACTCTTTTCCTAGTTAACGTTTTGTCTTTGTCATCATCGCCGTCACTGTCTTCATTCATCTCTTCAACGGAATAGGACTCTTCTCGCGTGGTACGCTTGCTTAAGACACCTCCATCCTCAAGATCGATGATTTCTTCTTCTTCAGTTGTAAGCGTCTTCTCTAGTTCTCCACTGGATTCTTCTCCACTTCCTTCCTTTGAGGCGATCTCATCTTTTAGGGTTGATGATGTATTCGTGGTGTCTGCTAGCTCATCGTCGTCGTTTAGTGTCTCATCGCTTGACGCTCGCTTTTCTCCAGTCCCGCCGGTTAGATCTTCCATGCTCTCATCGGATTCGACTTGACTGAGCTTTTCTTCCAGCATGACAAAGGACTCGAGGCGTTCGTATTCTTCGAGTTGAAGTTTTTCCTCGATGTCATCTTCGTCATCTTTCGGCGAATCTTTATCCTTGGCAACGTACTCCTCTTCTTCGTTGATATCCTCTAAAGCCGGGTTCATGAACCCCTGTTCGTAAAATACGGTTTCGTCAGGCTCATCTTTTAATTCTTGCTCCCCATCAGTATGATGACGTTCTTCCGAATCTTCTTCTGGTATGACGTACATTTCGCGATGATCTGATAAGTCTTCCTCTTCCGATGAATCAGAGTGTCCATCACCATATTTAACGAGTATAAACTCTTCCATATCTTCTTCCATGGGTTCTCCCTGTCTATACACCTCTGGGTACTCTCCGTCATCACTTGCCGTCGAATCGCGCTCAAAACTGGCCCCAGGTGAATAGTCCACGTAATAGCGTGTCATGGATTCATTGTTGTTGTTATCATAAATATTATCTTGTTCATTAGTACCTTGTATTTCGTGTGGAATGGCTTGATCCTCTTCTTCAATTTCATACTCCTCCAGATGCTGTTGTTGATCAGATTCGGGTGAATCACTCTCTWCGGGTTCCTGTTGGACTTCRTCTGCGCGAATGATGTCCTCCTCAGAATCGTGTTCTCGTTCCTCGTCGTTACCGTCCACATCACTTTGCATGGGTTCCGCTAGCAGAACGCCATGGTTTTCTTCAATCGACTCATCTTCTTTTCTTTGCTCTGCAGCAATTTCGAATTCTTCTTCATACACAGCGTCCACACTCGTTTCCTCGCGCACGTGGTGCGTTTCTTTCTCGTCGCAATGTTCCATTCTTTTGATTTCTACTTCCTCTTCAAATATGTCATCATCAGCAGTATCTTCAACTCGTTGAATTTCAACTTCTTCCTGGAAGACGTCTCGTTCGTCTTCATCTAGCTCTTCTCTCTCGTGGTCATCAAGAGATTTGGGCGCTTCTTCAGCCTCAGGAACTCGTTCGACTTCTATTTCTTCTGTAAAATCAATGTTCACGTTAACTGGTGCGCTTTCCTGGTCTTCTGAAACTTCTTCGTCAAGAGAGGGCTCTAGCTTTGACACATCAACTTCCTCTTGGTAGACACTTTCWGTCACTATTTGGCTTTCGTCTTGTGTTCCGTCGAGGTCATCAAAAGATTCGTCTGATTTGCTCGAATGTCCATCAGATCTGAAATCATCCTCAGTCATTGCTTCATCTGCTGCAATATCTTCCTGCTTTGGTTCTTTATCGTTTAATTTTTGTTCATCTTCTTGCATTATAACAGTTGCTTGGTCCTCACGGTAATGTTGTTCCTCTGGAGTTTCGTGCCGTGTGATAACAGCTGAAAATGTTGTGGCGTACGAGACCTGTGTCATTCTTTCTTCGCGCTTTTCTAACTCTTCTTCTTCTTGATGACTGCTTTGAACTTCAATTTCCTCCTGTAAGAAGACTTCCTCCATCTTCTCTTGTCTTCTGTGGACTAGCTCCTTATCTTCTTCCTCTAGTTCATCCAAGTCTGATGTTGGACTATGGACGATGGTTGAATGGGACGTTTCCACTTCATGGTCAATTGCCTGAGATAACTCACTTGCCGTTGATATCTCCGATGGGTATTCTGTATCCATTGTGTTATCAGTCTTAAAGCTGCTATCCACAGTGTCTGCAGGTTGTGACTCGGACACTGAAGGATCGATCACTAGTTCTTTTTCTTCTACCATGTAGATTCTTGGATGGTCAAAGTGAGGAATGTATTCTTCGTCAGATCCTTCCTCTTCTTCCTCCGCAACAAATTCAGTGGCAAAAATTGTTGGTGGGGGAGAAACATGGTCTTCAGAACTTTCTGATTCTTTGTCCTTGTCGTTTTCGAAGAGAGACAGATCGACCAACTCAGCTTTTTCTTGTTCTGTTGCAGTAACGTTTTCGTCGACCTCTTGGGGTCTTGGTGATTGAAGTGAGTCATCGAGACCTTCTGCTTCAGCGACTGCTTTAGTAGCAACTTCCTCGGCTTCTATATGTCGGAAAGAATCATGGCTAACGTCTAAAGAGCGCTGGAGCTCATCTAAGTCGTCATGAGCAATGATCTTGTCAATAACATCGTAGTTTTCTCCAAAGCCAGCTTCCCCTGAATCGTCAAAGGTATCATCTGATCTCGCATCCGCTACATCTATTGGTGTAGAACAGGCCAACGGAGCGTCCATTATTGCAATAAAATCGCGATCTTGTTCATCTTTTAACATRCACAATTCATCTTCATGTTGTTCTGTTTTAGTGGATTCRGTTAAAACAATTGGAATACATGGGGCGACACATTTTTCTTCTCTTGTTATTTGTTCTTCAACTTGTTCTTTCGATAGGTGAATCACATCTGYTTCCTTTTTGGTGTTCTCCTCACTCTTTTCTTCTTCATCTTGTTCAGTAAATTGTATAAGTTCAACAGTCTTTGATTCTTTTTCTCCGACAAATTCTTCTTTGGAGTTATCAAACTCAACAATCTTCTCTTCCTCAGATGTTTCTGAAAATTGTATCAATTCGACACTTTCTTCAACGATCTCTTCTGAGCTTTCTGCAGCTTTCTCGTCCYCATCGGCTTCTTCCTTGTCCTCATCAACATCTTCCTGTGCATCTCTTTCAGAAAATTGTATGAGCTCAACACTTTCTTCAACATTTTCTTCTGAACTCTCTATTTCTTTTTCGTCGTCATCAGATGGAGATGGAGAAGTCCGTTCAAAAGGTTCTGTTGAAACCTGCTCAACTTTGTCATCATTGTCTCTCTCGGAAAACTGAATTAATTCAACATTTTCTTCCATTAGTTCTCCAGAGCTTTCAAGTTCCTCTTCCTCTTCTTCCTCTTCTTCAAAGGAACGTGTTGGAGAATGCTCYCTTGATTCGTCTTTAGGCTGTTCGTATACAAAATCTTGTTTTACTTCTGTTTCCTCAGTGAACTCGACGAGTTGTACCTTCTCCGTGACATTTTCATCTGAACTCTCAACGTCTTCGTTTTCTTCAGGGGATCTCTCAAGTATTTCCTCATCTTTATCGAAGCTTTCGTCGACGTTGTCTGTGTCGTCGACAAACTCCACGGGATGTAATGGATCGATGCGCTGCTCCTCCGTCTTAGTCTCTCCATCATCATATATAGGGGAGGAAAAGCTCTCTTTCACGACTAATGCGCTTGTGATTTCTTTCTCCACCTCAGTTATGACTTCACTATCGTASGCGATGTCGTCTTCCGACGGTTCAAACTTTTCGTCTTCTTGGTTTGCCATAAGTACAACACCAGGCACTGTTTGTTGAAGGTAAACGTTTTCAACGTCTACTTTTTCCTCGTATTCTTGCTCCTCAGATGATTGTCTTAGTGTCGTATAAAGTTCTTCAGTTTCTTCCAGCTCCTCTTCACTAATGTAGCCAAAACGATCGTCTGAAAATTTTGGTTGCAGCAAATGTTCATCCTCCTCTTCTACTGATTCCTCAACTCTGTTATCATCGATTTCCTCTCTTATGGGTTGCTCTTCTTCATCTGTAACTTTATCTTTATCTGTCTCATCTTCCTGATTGATTTCTTTATTTTCTTGGATATTTATTGCTATGGGTTCTGTCTCCCTTGCATCCTCTTCTGTCACYTTTTCTTCTGCTGGTTCTGGCTGAGATTCCTGTTCAGGTATTTCATCGATTGGAACGTTATTTTCGTTTACAAAATCTTGGACATCTTCGCTTATACTTAATGGCTCGTCGCTCGTAACTGTCCGTGATGTAGTTGTAGTCGTTACAAATGTTCTTGTTATAATTTTCTTGGTCAACGTGCTGTTATCGCTATCATCTTCCTCAACGGTAGAGGTCTCTTCACGTGTTACAGATTTRGAAACAAGCCCTCCATCCTCTARTTSTATTGTTTCATGTTCTGTTTCAACACGAGACGYATTTACAGGCGCATAAGTTTCTTCAGCATCGTCTTCAATATGTGGTTCTTGCTTTTCTTSGTTTTTCTCATTAAGGTATTGTTCTACAGTTTGTGCTTCCTCTGGCTCTTCTTCACTTTCAACCTTTTCGCTCTGTTCTGCCTCCTCTACCGTTATAGAGTCCTTTTCCATGCGTTCTTCGTCTTCTTCACCCTGTGGTTCTTGTTCTTCYKTTTGCTCAACAACTTCAGCCTGATGATCTGAGGATTYCTCCATCTCTATAACACGATTGCTTTCGTGCTGCGTTATAACAGCAAAGGACGATTCAGTTTTATCCTCGGTTTTTGCTTCCACAACATCTTCTTGTAACTCTTCTCTGCTTTCATACTGTAACGTACTAGGTTGATCTTCGACAGTTTCTCTACTTTCCTCAGTTTCCACCACAGGAGACGAGCAGACATCAGCAGCCTGACTGGTAGTTATAATTTCATCTTCCAGTAATTCTTCTTCAGATAATGGTTCCTCTTCCAAATCTTCATCGTCTTCYTCGCGTTGAAATTCTTCGCCTGAAATATCGGCTTCGTCGATCACCCCCGGTGTCTTCTCTTGGTATTGTTYCGTCTCGGATTCCACGGTTTCCTCAAGAGTAGCATCCTCGACGTCATGTGTGATATACGTTGTTGTACAGTGTCCGTTTGGTAAAACCTCCTTATATCTTGGCTCTTCAGCTTGAACTTCTTCCTCGTTGTACACGTCAACTTCGACGGATGGCATRCGTTTGTGTACGATCTCCGTGTTATGACGATAAGTTGTTTCTGTCGTTATACAAATTGTTGATTCGGACGATTCTGGTATGCCATGCACCACAACATTATCGACGATCTCTGGTTCTTCCTCGGACAACGTGTCGACTTCAACTTCTTTAATTGGTCGAACTTCAGATTCCTGAATTTCGATCTCAGAAGTTACGTGACAAGACGACGGTACAACAACTTCGGTTGACGATGACCTGGGACGAATCTCCTCAAAGCTTTCATGCACGGTTGTTTTTATGGATTCTTCTTCTAACAATCCAGTGTCTACTGGTTCATTTCTTTCAACTTCGGCGGTAATATGAATTAGGGAGCTGGGAGAATCTTCATGAGCTAAATTGGCATGTGATGTATCGTGCTCTGCATAATCATCAGCAACAGAGTCCTCATATTGTTGTTCAACAACGCCACCTTGATCCTCTTCTTCGGAAGGTTCTTCAGAGAAACAAATAGACTGCGCCTGATCAGCAGCTGTTTCGACCTTCAATGGATCCTCCTCTTCTTCGAACGTTCCAGCATTTTCTTCTTCATTATCCCGCTCATCATTGACAACTTCGGTCGTTTCTTCAACTTCAACCTCGTGAGAAACAAATACTGGTGATCCAGCCGACCTTTCTTGAACGTCTTCAGCCTTCGCCTCAAAAGGGTCTTCAAATTCTTMACCGTATGTTTTCAGATCTTCTTCAGATTCTTCTTCGCAGTACTCGTACTCATCCTGAAGTGGTTCTTCCCGAAAGGCTTCATGCTCTTGTACTATGACGGTTTCTTTGAAGCTTACGCTTCTCCTTTTTTCTGGTGGCATTGGTCTTCCAAAAGTTTCCAAAGTCTTACTTTCATCTTCTTCTTCTTTTTCTGACGATTCATCTTCATCTTTGAATAATTCTTCCCAAGGAATCTCACTTTCAACTTTTAGTTTCTCCTGAGCTGTGATCATTTCCTCCTCAACTGGGCTAGTGCTCCAAGATCGTTTATCAGAAGGCGGCGTATAAAAGTCAAATAATGCCTTTTCATCTTCACTCTCAGTGAGATCAATGTCTTTACTAATATCTCCTTTTTTCGGAGATTGTTCGAGTGGAATAAGATCAATATGACGCCCTAATCTGTTTAAAATCTTATGAACACGCCTGTCTCTATCTATATGAGCTATATCGATTACTTCCATGGCTTCGCCGTCCGAAAATTCCGCCGCTTCTTCCTCATCATTACTTAGTTCAGTTTCCTTGAAAACCTCCTCTTTCTGCTTCTCAATTGGAAAAGTTTCCGTAGCCTTTTGCGTATAAATTATTTCATCTTCCTTGGGAAYCTCCTCTTTCTGCTCTACAACTTCGGAATACTTCTCTTCAACAGTTTCCGTAGCTTTTTGCGTAAAAGTTCCTTCATCTTCCTCGGGAACCTCCTCTTCCTGCTCCACACAAGTCGAATATTTATCTCCCTCAGTTTCAGGCACAGATTCCTCATCTTCCTTGGGTAACTCCTCTTTTTGCTCCACGACAATCGAATGTCTCTCTTCCATAGTTTCATGYGCAGTTTCCTCAACTTTCTGAGTATAAATTACTTTATCGTCCTTARGTAACTCCTCTTTTGGCTCCACGACAGTCGAATATTTCTCTTCAACAGTTTCAGGCACAGTTTCCTCAGCTTTTAGTGTATAAATTACTTTATTTGTTTCTACTTGTTTATTTGATATTTCTTGCTTGCTGCGTTGCGGTTTTGGTAACGYTGGCGGTGGCTTTGATTTGGGTTTTTCATCGAAACGTGTCACCATTTCATCGAGATTATTTTCTCGCTTTTCACGATGAGTTTCCAGAACCTCCTCTTTACAAACAGGACCTGAATATCTTCCAGGTTTATCAGTTGTTGTTTCAAATTTAAAAAGTTCTTGTTCTTTTTCAGTGTCTGTTAAGTCAACCTTTTTTAAATCTACATYCTTGTTTTGTTTTTCGATATTACGAGGGATAAATTCAAAAATATGATCAACGTTTTTTAAGTGTTCYTCCGCAGCTTGTTCGCGCTTCACAGAMACAGCGTAACAGTGATCAGGCGACGAATCCCGATTCTCAGTTTCCTCCTGGTTTTCATCAACAGTATTGTCTTCGTCTTGATCCCGTACATAGTTTTGTTCATAACAGTAAGATTTAATGTGATGGTCCATTTCAAATTCATCAAGCTCTCCTAGTAAATCTTCATCCGCTTCGGATACAGTTTCTAGACTCATTCCATCATCGTCGTCGTCCTCCGCCTCCTCTTCGGAAGCGAAGTCGTCGTCGCGTTCGTCACGTTCGTCGTGCTTCGGGAAGACGTCGTCGTACTCGAGTTGACACACTGTTTCTTCGTGTTCCTCAGTCTTTTTTACTTCAGGTTTYAKTTCCACCGACGAGCGTTTTGGTTTTTCCTCCATTTTCTCAAACTGCTCAAAGTAGGCAACACGTGACATGACACGCCCCTCTTCAGGCTCTGGTTCCGTGCCTGCAAAAGATCAAAGATCTCAGGTACAGGACAAACATTCCATAAAAAAGGGAAGTGGGACAAGATGGAAAGAGAAATGGAGAGGGAAATAAAGATACAGGAGAGAAGAAATAAGAAATTAAGACAATCAAAAGATATAGGGCAGAGGACCTTCAACATCAATTTCTTCTCTCCTCTGCCTTCCCCACCACCCTACCYTCTCCCAAATAAATGAAAAATAACAGATTACAGAGGGGGGATCAATCAATTGTGAATTATCGTAAGTGCATATTATCATTAAATAATATCGTGCTATATCACTACTTTAATATCCTTGTGGGTTACTCAATCGAAGAAGTGTTCTCATATTTATTAAAACATAGCTGATAGAAGGACGCGCACTATAGTCATCCTACACGGAATGAGTCCTAAGAAACTCCGAAGAAGGATTAACGTCCGGAACGTCAGTAAGTTATCTCACCTACGTTTTACGGTTTTAAAATGTTTGCACAAATGTTTCTTTAGAAACACTGACGCAGGTCATACTAGTTTACCGCTAGTTTCCACCGCATAAAATTCCATCACCTATATTTCTAGAACCGATAACGACCGAAGAAGTATCCATACCAATCTTTCTCCAAGTTCCGTCCCTTATTTGGCTATTGTAACCGAAAAAAAGTGTTAATTTCTTTATTAGCACAAGTTAATATATGGTTGTTGTGCTTAAGTGAGATGGAAGTGGAACATGCATGATACTAATGCAGCTTTATCGTTTACAAGCTTTTTTAATGTAACAGCAGTGCTTAATTTTAGTCGATGGATTATTCTTCATTGGGAAGTGATGATCGAGTCCGCCCCCTCTCTCGTGCTAACTTTATCCCTTCTATACTTCTGTGAAAAAAAACTGGATTTTGCGAAGAAGAGAGATCTGAGTTCTTAAATTTAAGAGCCAAGCGTGGAAACAAGTTGAACTCCACCCTTGTCCCTTTTCGCTTCCCATCGCAGCCTGTGGGAAACCATTCCAAGCCACATAAGAATGAAAAAATAACAAAGCCGTAGCACTAAAAAACCGGGAAACCGCCTTTATCGGGTTTCCCACAGATTCCGATGAGGATTTCGAAGGGAACAAGAATGAGGGAGGGTTCGCGCGGCCATATTTCTAACGCAGGTATCCCAAAATAAGTTTTTTCTCTTCTCCGCAAAAGGAACGATCGCCACTCCATCTCTTAGAAGTTGCAGTGCATAGTCTGGTGGGTTACCTTGAGAGTCCAACGACAACGATCTACGCACATCGGGGGAGAATTCAGTACGTTTTGGTTCATTGTAGACAAGAGCTTGCTCAAAAGTTTCTATCTTTGCTTGCTCAGTGGCGTGCACCACTGTGAACAAAGGCTCTAAAKCGAAAACACGTGAAAATACAATGAGCCTAGCCTCCTACGCAGGCGACTTGACATGATTTCAAAATAGTTACTAGTCCAGCTCTGTCGCYGACTTAACACAGGAAGCCCGTTATTTACAGTAAAGAAAGACGAGTGTGCGGAARAGGCTTGTGCTCATGTACATGYWTATGGMAGTTTARGCTGTGTWACYTAATGCATGTGATTTCCATATAATGCCATTAAATCAAAGCGTTTTGGAGTCTCTACGAAGACAGATAATTATTTGAGTTTAGTGAAAAGAATCGGAACGTGGAACAGTTACTTTGGTTATTTTCTATATAAGATTATTATAGAGAGAATAAGAAGATATAGCGAATAGACATGTTGTTATGTTTTACAGATTGATACAAGTTGATATTAGAATTAAGGTAAAATGATTTGTTGTTTGTCCGAAGATAAGAACAAGGACGGTTATATCTACAACAACTTACAATTCTAGTTAAAGTGTGTTTTAGTGGCATTAGCCCGTGAAGCAAGTGTAATAGTAATAATATCGTGTAAATCGCCGAGAAAAAGAAAGAAAAACAAATGAGTAATATAATGTAGAATGCTAAAGTGTAAAGCTGTTTGCAATAATTCTGACCCCCTCTGCCATATTTCATATATATCAAACTGACCTTTAATATTATGGGATATCATGACTGATATATTTTTTGAGTTGTCCAGAATGTGTACTTTCTAAAAAAAATATCAGCATTGGTATCCCATAATTTCTAAGGCTACTTTGATATATATGAATATTAGTGTAGGGGGGTCAGAATTATTGCAAACAGCTGTATTTCAAGAGTTAATGGATATAAGATTTGACTAGCATAACCCCCTGGTCTTGAAGTAGTACCAGGGGCCGGTTGTACGAAGGGTAAAAAAATCCTTCTCAATACACGACTTTTAAAAATGGTGGAAGTTCACGACGACCGTCAATATCGGGGAAAACGAGACGATACCTTAGAGGCCTAACACCAACTAACACCACGAAGATCGCACGTGAGCTTCTAAAAGTTTGAAAGATGTCTATATATATTATTTATAACAAAGAACTTGCAAGATACCATTGAAGTTAGAGGAGGCTGGTCTTTGAGACCTCGTTTTTGTGCTTCGTCCCCAGTGCCGTGGTTGGCATATCGCGCCAGTTTTGAAAGTCGTGAATGGATTAAGTCCATACAAGGTCATGAAGTGGATAATYAATCTACCCTTGGTACAACTAGCCCAAGTACTATTGCTATTTCATGTCATAACGTATGCTTTTTTCAAAACACTGACTCACAGTATATAATGGCACAAGTCTTCAAGAATATCTTTTACTTCTTTTAAAAATTTACACATACCTTCATTGTCAAACTCCTCGCCCTCTTCAACTCCAGATTCCTTGTCCTCGTCGGACTTGTCCAGGTCTTCTTTTTCCAGATCGCTCGACTCGGGCCTCATGCGTCTCCTCGGCAAGACAGGGCTTTCTATCCAGACCAGCCTGGTGAATGTTTCGGGGGAGGACATGTAAGCCGGCTGCGATTGTTCTTTGCGCCTGGAGACATTATTGTGAGTGTTGTGGATCAACGCTAGTTACCATTCCTCCGCGTTGATACGCACGCGCGCTGCATTGTGGGACGACGTTTGGCTAACATCACATGCATTTTAAGAAGCGACATCGATACACATGCAGCAAGGCAAACCAGAAAACAATAGAAGAGTACAGAAATAAACCCCMAAATACCCAAAGCAAATCCCAAACAATCCCACAATCCAGTGCAGTGCGCACAACCACGCGTATTGTTTCATAATTAGGTTTTACCATGATTCACAAGGACAACAAACCAAATTGAAATTCTTGGTGACGTTTACGTCTCTATGGCAACGTAGCATTAAGGTCGCGCGTGATAAYTTTTATGATGATGTTATGCATGTTGATTTTTAGCAGTGACAAGGGGCTGACATGCTGTGTATTTTTGACGTTATTACGATAATTTAAACTTTATTTTCGTTTCTAACACTAWTTGGCTAAAAGAGTAGCAGCATGCAACCCGTAGGCATGCCAAACCTCCGTTCTAACACCTTAAGAAGATTTATCATCAAGACTTAGACAAGCTTGCTGTACGCGCAWTTATAGACTGGCACAACTTTAGGATTATTTTTACGCAGCTACACAAAGACAATAGATTACAGCCATAGCAAATTGCAGCGCAAACTATCAAAGCGTTACCTTGTTTGGTCATGATGTTTGTTTTCGGCTTGTAACATTGCACCTGGGGATAAGAAATATTACCTCAATCAATATCAGCAGTACGATTATCACTTTCTTGAGATTACGATTATAATTTTCACTTCCTTGATATAATTATCATTATTCAAAAAGTGTATGAAGTAAGGGTTATGCAAGTGAAAGAAAGGGAAGAAGATTGGTTGAGGAAACAACGGAAAAACAGTAGAGKCTCTTCTAAACAATACAAAATCCTAGCTTAACAACGGAATTTCACAACTAAGTAGATTTTAGCTATCAAAGGATGGTTACTACACGCTGCTCGCTATCTCCTTCTCCCCTCCCCTCCCCCCCACGGAACCATTTGACAATACATTACACTCTGAATTACCTTCAACTTCCCAGCTCATCCTCAAGCTCCGTCGCCCATTCACTTTAATCCTGTATTTCACGTCGCTTTCAAACAACACAGGCTCAACTGTGTTACGTTCATGGCCACGYTTCCGYACGTTATTAACAAATAGCCCATCAATGTTGCCTACGGGTTCGTAACGAGCGACGACTACGCATTGTCCGTTGTCATTGCATGCTTTACCAACACCGAGTTTACGACTCGTRAGCCAYAGAAGCTGCGTGAAGCTCCGCGTTTCGAGTTTGAAGCCGGGACTATCGAAGTCGTAGCTTGTTGATTCTTGATACCATAGTTCGGC